TTTCGATTCTTTTCGATTCTTTTCGATTCTTTTCGATTCTTTTCGATTCTTTTCGATTCTTTTCGATTCTTTTCGATTCTTTTCGATTCTTTTCGATTCTTTTCGATTCTTTTCGATTCTTTTCGATTCTTTTCGATTCTTTTCGATTCTTTTCGATTCTTTTCGATTCTTTTCGATTCTTTTCGATTCTTTTCGATTCTTTTCGATTCTTTTCGATTCTTTTCGATTCTTTTCGATTCTTTTCGATTCTTTTCGATTCTTTTCGATTCTTTTCGATTCTTTTCGATTCTTTTCGATTCTTTTCGATTCTTTTCGATTCTTTTCGATTCTTTTCGATTCTTTTCGATTCTTTTCGATTCTTTTCGATTCTTTTCGATTCTTTTCGATTCTTTTCGATTCTTTTCGATTCTTTTCGATTCTTTTCGATTCTTTTCGATTCTTTTCGATTCTTTTCGATTCTTTTCGATTCTTTTCGATTCTTTTCGATTCTTTTCGATTCTTTTCGATTCTTTTCGATTCTTTTCGATTCTTTTCGATTCTTTTCGATTCTTTTCGATTCTTTTCGATTCTTTTCGATTCTTTTCGATTCTTTTCGATTCTTTTCGATTCTTTTCGATTCTTTTCGATTCTTTTCGATTCTTTTCGATTCTTTTCGATTCTTTTCGATTCTTTTCGATTCTTTTCGATTCTTTTCGATTCTTTTCGATTCTTTTCGATTCTTTTCGATTCTTTTCGATTCTTTTCGATTCTTTCGATTCTTTTCGATTCTTTTCGATTATTTTCGATTATTTTCGATTCTTTTCGATTCTTTTCGATTCTTTTCGATTCTTTTCGATTCTTTTCGATTCTTTTCGATTCTTTTCGATTCTTTTCGATTCTTCTCGATTCTTTTCGATTCTTTTCGATTCTTTTCGATTCTTTTCGATTCTTTTCGATTCTTTTCGATTCTTTTCGATTCTTTTCGATTAGTTTCGATTCTTTTCGATTCTTTTCGATTCTTTTCGATTCTTTTCGATTCTTTTCGATTATTTTCGATTATTTTCGATTCTTTTCGATTAGTTTCGATTCTTTTCGATTCTTTTCGATTCTTTTCGATTATTTTCGATTCTTTTCGATTCTTTTCGATTCTTTTCGATTCTTTTCGATTCTTTTCGATTCTTTTCGATTCTTTTCGATTCTTTTCGATTCTTTTCGATTCTTTTCGATTCTTTTCGATTCTTTTCGATTCTTTTCGATTCTTTTCGATTCTTTTCGATTCTTTTCGATTCTTTTCGATTCTTTTCGATTCTTTTCGATTCTTTTCGATTCTTTTCGATTCTTTTCGATTCTTTTCGATTCTTTTCGATTCTTTTCGATTCTTTTCGATTCTTTTCGATTCTTTTCGATTCTTTTCGATTCTTTTCGATTCTTTTCGATTCTTTTCGATTCTTTTCGATTCTTTTCGATTCTTTTCGATTCTTTTCGATTCTTTTCGATTCTTTTCGATTCTTTTCGATTCTTTTCGATTCTTTTCGATTCTTTTCGATTCTTTTCGATTCTTTTCGATTCTTTTCGATTCTTTTCGATTCTTTTCGATTCTTTTCGATTCTTTTCGATTCTTTTCGATTCTTTTCGATTCTTTTCGATTCTTTTCGATTCTTTTCGATTCTTTTCGATTCTTTTCGATTCTTTTCGATTCTTTTCGATTCTTTTCGATTCTTTTCGATTCTTTTCGATTCTTTTCGATTCTTTTCGATTCTTTTCGATTCTTTTCGATTCTTTTCGATTCTTTTCGATTCTTTTCGATTCTTTTCGATTCTTTTCGATTCTTTTCGATTCTTTTCGATTCTTTTCGATTCTTTTCGATTCTTTTCGATTCTTTTCGATTCTTTTCGATTCTTTTCGATTCTTTTCGATTCTTTTCGATTCTTTTCGATTCTTTTCGATTCTTTTCGATTCTTTTCGATTCTTTTCGATTCTTTTCGATTCTTTTCGATTCTTTTCGATTCTTTTCGATTCTTTTCGATTCTTTTCGATTCTTTTCGATTCTTTTCGATTCTTTTCGATTTTTCGATTCTTTTCGATTCTTTTCGATTCTTTTCGATTCTTTTCGATTCTTTTCGATTCTTTTCGATTCTTTTCGATTCTTTTCGATTCTTTTCGATTCTTTTCGATTCTTTTCGATTCTTTTCGATTCTTTTCGATTCTTTTCGATTCTTTTCGATTCTTTTCGATTCTTTTCGATTCTTTTCGATTCTTTTCGATTCTTTTCGATTCTTTTCGATTCTTTTCGATTCTTTTCGATTCTTTTCGATTCTTTTCGATTCTTTTCGATTCTTTTCGATTCTTTTCGATTCTTTTCGATTCTTTTCGATTCTTTTCGATTCTTTTCGATTCTTTTCGATTCTTTTCGATTCTTTTCGATTCTTTTCGATTCTTTTCGATTCTTTTCGATTCTTTTCGATTCTTTTCGATTCTTTTCGATTCTTTTCGATTCTTTTCGATTCTTTTCGATTCTTTTCGATTCTTTTCGATTCTTTTCGATTCTTTTCGATTCTTTTCGATTCTTTTCGATTCTTTTCGATTCTTTTCGATTCTTTTCGATTCTTTTCGATTCTTTTCGATTCTTTTCGATTCTTTTCGATTCTTTTCGATTCTTTTCGATTCTTTTCGATTCTTTTCGATTCTTTTCGATTCTTTTCGATTCTTTTCGATTCTTTTCGATTCTTTTCGATTCTTTTCGATTCTTTTCGATTCTTTTCGATTCTTTTCGATTCTTTTCGATTCTTTTCGATTCTTTTCGATTCTTTTCGATTCTTTTCGATTCTTTTCGATTATTTTCGATTATTTTCGATTCTTTTCGATTCTTTTCGATTCTTTTCGATTCTTTTCGATTCTTTTCGATTCTTTTCGATTCTTTTCGATTCTTTTCGATTCTTTTCGATTCTTCTCGATTCTTTTCGATTCTTTTCGATTCTTTTCGATTCTTTTCGATTCTTTTCGATTCTTTTCGATTCTTTTCGATTAGTTTCGATTCTTTTCGATTCTTTTCGATTCTTTTCGATTCTTTTCGATTCTTTTCGATTATTTTCGATTATTTTCGATTCTTTTCGATTAGTTTCGATTCTTTTCGATTCTTTTCGATTCTTTTCGATTATTTTCGATTCTTTTCGATTCTTTTCGATTATTTTCGATTATTTTCGATTATTTTCGATTATTTTCGATTATTTTCGATTATTTTCGATTATTTTCGATTATTTTCGATTATTTTCGATTATTTTCGATTATTTTCGAATATTTTCGATTATTTTCGATTATTTTCGATTATTTTCGATTATTTTCGATTATTTTCGATTATTTTCGAATAATTTCGATTATTTTCGATTCTTTTCGAATTTTTCGATTATTCTATTTTTTCGATTAATCGATTATTTTCGATTAATCATTTTTTCCAATAATCGATTATTTTTATGAATAGATTATTTATTTGTGACTAGAGTACAGCAAGTTAGTTAATAGTTGTAGTATTTTAAAACAGTATAATATTCTAATCGATTAATCAAAATCGAATATGATATTTTTAAAAAATCGAAAATATCCGATTAATCTAAAATAACTGATTTTTGTATTTTTTTCGGGATTTGCAGTTGTTTATAGTATGGTGTAGTGTAAATTAAGTTTTAAATAGTTCTACCGGGCGAAATTTGAAAAAAACCCATTATTTTCATCTTGGCTTTGCAATGCCCAGGGCACCGTACATAAAATGAACGATGCCCAGGGTGGGTATAGTGGCTTTTGTATAGCCACGTAATTTAATCAAGAATTGCTTCACTAAAAGAGCAAATGTTTGTGCGAAGTATAAAAAGCATACTTCAGGATTCACTGGCAGCTCTAAGGTTTGTCCTCTCTAAAAGCTAACCAAAACTACAGGGAACATTTATGCGTTTTTAGATTTACAAGTTCTTTGAAAATGTCACGAGTTTCAGATGAAATAAAAACGGTAGTTTCTGCGCTTGTACCATTTCTAGTAATGGATCATCTAGGTGATGATATCAAGCAACCTTTTCATGACTCAGAAATCTTATAAAAAATTCGGAATTTAATTGTATTAAATCGGACGATGCCAAAGAAGTATTGAGGGATATTGGCTCTCTTACAAAGTTTTACAAGCCGCCACTGCAACACATTATACACAAATTTTCAGTTTTTGTATCTATTTTGTAAAATCATGTGATCGTAGAAAAAAATCTTGTGTGCATTTTAAGCAAAAAGTTCGTTGCCCCTTTCGACAGATTGCCGCGCTCCGCTACGCGTCGCGTGGCCAACTTTCTGTCTCAAGCAGCAAAGTACTACTTTTCTCTCTTAATAAACAAATAGCTATTTTTATCCTTCTCTAAAGACAATAACATCTAAAAGGATTCAACAAATTTGAATACACCTCACACGCAGTAAAACAAAAAGTCTGGCAAATACATATTGCTAATAAACACTAATTTATAATTATTCCCTAAACATCAGATAAGTCCAGAGGTTTAATTTTTTTGTCAAAAAATGTTACTGATACTTTTTTTAATAATACATATATAAAAGATAAAAAAATTAACGTTCTGTTCAATTTCTGAAAATTTTAGTATTTGGACTTGCCTGGATTTTGTAAAGAACCCTTCAATTGGTTATAAACGTATTTTTATGTAGAGCTCGATTTTTTTGTGAAGAGCACACTTCGTCATATTGTGCAGAAATCAATTTGAGTTTGTAGGCGTGGTCAGACAGATTTAAACGTGATTGAAGCCACCTGCCGCTCATCACCACTCATACAAGTTGAATTCAGTAGCTTAAGTGTTACTTATTTGTACTTGTTGCATTTATTTAGCTATTTTGAGTTTGGCAAAGCTATGACGAAATGTGCTCTACACAAATAATCGAGCTCTACCAGAGTAATTATTGTAAAAATACAAATTGTTTAAAGATATTCGTCGGTAAAAGATTTTTAGATCAATATCTTTTTTTTATTATTTTAGCCATACTTTGAGAGATTTCAAAAATGTTGCATTCATAATATGGCCTCTCTTAATAATTTTGGTGTTAACTAATGGTACATCTGGATTGGGACATCCAAATATAACCAGTTTGGTAGTATCTGATGGTTACAATGATCATAGAGACAATTTATGGTATAGTAAGTAATTAAATATAATATTTTTATAGTCCCTACCAATGATTTCTTGTACATAATATAGTACATGGAAATCGTACAAAAAAAGAAGTGTTGCCTTACATCAAATGAGGTAGTTCTGATTTTTTTTATGAGTTGGTAGTGATGAATGGCAACGACAAATCCAAGTTTTCCACCTTGAAAGCCCTTCGGATCACAGTTAAATACTTGAAAATTTATTAAAATTTAGTTTTTTTCGTTTTTGTCAACTTTTATCAGCAAGGACCTATGTTACGACAAAAGCTACTATGGACACTTTTTAAGTAGACTAAATTTAAAATTAAATGAGAATAATTTGGTTTTTGTAGGCCAAATAGTTTTTATGATACGGCTCTTTAAAAGTTTGAAAAATTTCAAAAAAAAAGGAAGTATTACATTTTTTTTTTAGTTTTCTACAATTTTTACCTCTAAGTAGTGGGTATATTGAAAAAGTTACTTTTGTTTAGTTGTCAAAGTCCACTAAATTCCTAACAAAATGAGATGAATTTTGTCAACTTACACCTGATAGTTTCTGAGATACAGCTATTTCAAGTTGTTGAGGTAAGTAAACAATTATGTAATTTGGTTTTGGTAGGCCAGAGAGTTTGCAAAATTTAAGAAAAAAGGAAGTATTACAATTTTTTTTTAGTAAATTTTTATTGAAAGTGTGTTTTGTTTTTACTTTTATGTGTAACCTAACATATATTAAATATTATAACAGAATTTGTTTTTACTAATATCACGGAAGAAACAATACCACAAAAACCTGTGTCACCGATTTGATATTCAAACTAACATGCTAACGCCAGTACCCGTGGGTGCGGAAAGTTGTAGACGGTGGACATCTGCTCCTTAAAGTAGTGTGGCCTCGTAATGCGTCTTTTAGAAAAATTGCTTTCAGATATGTCCAATACTTGCAAAATCACTACGGCTTAAATATAACTGTAGTGTTCCATGCTTATCCGTTTGATGCATTAGACAAAAATACCAAGAGCCCCCTGAACGTCTGCGTAGAGCTCTAGCAACGTCCTCACCTGATATAATATTCAATAAAACAACCATTGCTCTAGTTGCTCAGGACAAGTTCCTATTGAATGACAGGAATAAAGTTAGACACATCGATATGCTGAAGGTTCACCTAGAGAAGAAACAAATTCTAACATTACAGGCAGAGAAAGATGCTGATAGGTTAATAGTAACCACAGCCGTTTCCATATCCTCTTCCTACGAAGTAGTGAAGATCGTCGGCGAGGATATATATTGTTTGGTCTTACTTTGTGGTTTGTCACGAGATGGAGACCACATCCTTTCAACAAACAGACCAAATAACAATATTATATTTGTAAAATGTGGAAAAGGAAAACCCAGATATAACTTACTCGACAAATTCCTTTACATACCCGGAATAGCACTGTTCCTTCACGCTATTTAGCGGTTGTGATACAACATCAGCACCTTTTGGCCAAGGAAAAAAAATTCCATCGACAAAAAAAAACAGCCACGCATCAAACAAAACGCAGAGGTTCTCTTAAACTCCAATGCCACACCTGAGCAAGTTTCCAACGCAGGAGAGACCTTCCTCCTTTCACTTTATGAGGCAACAGAGAATCGTAAAATCTTAGCGATCTTTGCTTCCAGTTGTTCACTAGGGCGGCAGTTAAGCCCAACATGAACCTCGCCAGATTGCCTAAAACCAGGGATGCTGTAAGATTTCACTTTCTGCGAACATACTACCAGGTGAGAATAAGTTTTTTGCTTGTGTTTCTTTCTGCTTCAGACCACATTCTTTATACATGGTTCCTTATTTTGTTGATGATTTTGTTTCAGGTACAGAAGTAACTGGGAAATGCGAAGAATCATCTCGATTGGGGCTGGATGCGAAGTACACAAGGCCTCGTACAGATTATGGCACCACCAGATTCTCAAGTTCTGCTAAATATGATTTTCCGTAACTGCAAAAAAGGTTGTATCAGCAGTTGTGCTTGCAGGAAAGCACGACAGAAATGCTCGGCTGTTTACATACTACTGCACTGGCCAATCTTGCGAGAACATACCAGACCTGATATGTGACGACATTGATGAACCATTCATTGATGGATGACACACCATCAAATGACGATTTAAACCTTCCTGAGCCGTTGGATGAAGAAATTCTACCTCTGCAAGCTGCCCCTAAAAGGTGTGCTCTCAGAGAACGAGCCTGGTCGATCAAAAATATACAAAAAATGCGAGTAATAACTATTTCCCTAACTGTGCTGTACATAAAATAAAATGAGGCATTTCATTATATTTTAATAAATTTTAATGCTTATTTCACTTGATTTTGCAAACCCTTCTAGTATATACTTTCTTACTTAACTAAACAACTTTGAACAGCTGTATTTCAGGAACTATCAGGTTTAAGTTAACATAATTGATCTCATTTTATTGGGAATTTAGTGGACTTTAATAACTAAAATTATAACTTTTCCCATAAAACCACTTCTTAGGGGTAAAATTTTAGAAACTTTTAAAAAGCCGTATTTTAAAAATTATTTGACCTACCAAAACTAAATTATTCCCATTTAATTTCAAATTTACACTACTTAAAAAGTGTCCATCGTAACTTTTTCCGTAACGTAGAATGGTGGTAAAAATTGACAAAAACTGAAAAAGTCCTAAAATTTAAAGAATTTTTTAGTATTTAACAATGATCCAAAAGGTTTTCGAGGTGAAAAATTTGGATTTGTCATATTCATCTCATCACTACCAACATATAAAAGAATCAGAACTATCTCATTTGATGTAAAGCAAAAAGTACCAATTCCAAGGACTAATACAATAATTTTTGTTATAAGTAGTTTATTATATTAACGTACTGAATAAATTATAAACTTAATTAATACAGTGGATATGCAGTTTGTAGCTAGTTTTTGAAACAGATCTAGGGAATTTTTTTATAAATACAAAATAGTAGTTTGTACAGCAAGAGTGGATATGATGGCCAGATCGCACGAGAACGAAATTTGGTAAAAGAAAAGAAGGAAAAATTAACATGGTTATCTTTTAAGAGCCAATTTTATTAAATTTATAAAAATAATCCGCTTTACATTTGTGTCATGCATTGCATTTTAAGTCTCATAAGCGATGTCAGAAAGTAGAGGGGACGATGCAACTCTACGAGTTACTTATGCCAATGGTAAATTATACCGACCGTTTCCACCCACTAAAAGTATAAAAGTTAGTCACAATGTTTTTTTATGGATACAATATGTTAACTTTTAAATACTGACTACAGGAGAACGGTATAGAAAAACAATGCTATTAAACAGATAGTAATAATATATTACAATACATCGCCGACTGCGGATCGCAATATTCTTTCCTTACCATCGAAAGAGTTATTCTCTTTATACCTATCACATCCAAATACAATTAAGCGTCTTATCTTCATTTTGCATGATGCGTTAGCTAATGTACTGTACATAAAAAATCACTGGAACATATTTTATATCAGTTTCAAAAGCTGCCCTTAAACTACACATCCACTACATTGGTACGCCAATTAAATTTATAATTATATCTTCAGTACATAACTAAAATCAAACTTGTCATCACTAATTGTGTATAATGAAGTGCAAAAAATCACCAGTTGAATCCTTAAACCTTCCGCAAGAATAGCTATTTTTACAATTAACAAAATCATATTGAATCATTAAGAATAATATATAAAAAAATTTTTTTCAGGTAAATATTTTGTTCCAACAGTGACATTTTTGGGAACAGACATTTTTAGTTTACTAGGAAGATTTTTTGGACAAGCCTATATTACAGTAAGTCCACTTCATATATTATCTAACAATCTCAATTATTATCCAATAAAATTTAGATGTGACCATTGTCGATAGTCTATAAAATAATCATCATTTTAAATATCTAATCCTGAAAAAAATGGAGATTTATTAAGTTAATAGTAAATGAACAGCCCTAAAAACAGAATGGAAATAAAATTTTTAAAAAACTGCCAATACATTTTTTAAATGGACAGGATTGGCGACTACTATTTCGAATCAAAATGGCTCTCAAGAAAGAAGATTATGTCGCAACTTGGATATATCAGCCCCGCTTTTTACCTATGCATGTACCTTGGACCGGTCCAAGGTACAAACATTTCGTTGATCCGTATATATGTACGATGAGACACAAAATTATATTACTCTATCAGCCGGTTGCGAGAACGATCGTTAATTATAATATAGACTCATTAACGCTAATGATCTCTTAAAAATGCATTCCGATCCTCGATAGCTATTGAACGTCGTAAATCTGGCAACACGGTGCATTTTTCGCAATATGACCAATAATATATATCGTTATAAAGATTGCTCACCCATATTTAAATAGGACTACGAAAAGCGTCTTTTCAAGTATTCACTGATAAATCGTTATGGCCCAAATGTGTTTTAAAATAAAATTTCAGCATTTGAATATTTAGAAACAAAAACAAAGAATGACCTATTTTACTTCAAGACACGATATTATGTAAGGCGTTTTAAACACATATTCTTTTGTGTTGAGTATCCATATATCGAAAAATAATATTAAGAGATCTAAACAATTTTATAACGGGGAAACAATAACAAAACCTACACAAAACACATAAAATCCCAAACTGAGACCAATTCTGAATATCTGAGCCATAAAACATAAAAAAACACTGAGTATTATAATAAAAATTATTAATTATGCAGAACAAAGTTTTCTTGATCATGCACTAAATAAAATTAACTTTATAAATTGCTGCCATCTTATAAATAGAACCACATGATATTTTCTGTCAAAATGGAGATTCTAATTTCATAGCAACATTCTATATTAGTTTCAATTAACAATATACCTGTATCTGTAAGGTGGAGAAGGTGGATACTTCCACAGTACTTAGGCCCATTGTGTATCCTCCAGGGGTATATAAAACCTGCCTCTCAACTTCTCAAAACCTGCTGGTTACCGCTGAAAGATGTCTAGAGACAGCTGCATTTTCATACCTCATCAAAGTCCTACAGGTTATCAATCCATCAAAAACCTGCTGGTTGACGCTAAGTGGTGTCTACAGACTACAGACATCCATCTTCGAAGAAAACACTACGCACAGCTAGGCAGTAAAAGTAAAGAATACTCAAAATTGTAATTAAGTACTCAAAGTTTTCAGTAATAGGTACTCCTGAGTACCTTTACCTTTAACGAGTACGAGTATCGACGCGCCCAGGTCTAGGCAAGCATCATCTTGTTTGTTATATCTTACTCACAGAACTACACTGCTTACAGTGCTTACTATTATTAATATTTTACATTTTATGTTTTGCCAGACAGTTTGTACAGCCCAAATGTGTGGTGTCAGTGTTATTTAGCAAGTTGGCGTTTGGTGCTGACTGTCCAAAAATGTAATGATTGTAAATACGAATCCATTTATATAAGTCAATTGAATTTTAGGTATTAAAAGATTAATCATTATTCAAAGTATTGTAAATGCAAATACGTGAATGTATATTAGAAAAATTAGAAAGAAACTAACAAAGAAATTAATGGATTTAAGCCATATTTATAACATCTTTAGTCACTAACTGGAATAATTTAATATACTCATACTTGTTACTTGATTTTTCACGAGTACCCTCTAAAACTTGCGAAAGTACTTGTTTGTTTTAAGTATTATTCATATGAGTGAGTATTCATACATAGATACTTATTATGAGTACTTTGCGATGCTATTCATTGTGAATTACTCATAAATACTTTAATGCAATACTTTGCCTCTGACACTATGTTTACAATGTATAACTGAGTACTCAAAATTGAGAGAAGACATTACATGTATTAGATATAGAGAAAATTTCGCCCAGTAAAACCCGCTTCTTGTCTAGTCAATTTTGGTGATAATAAATGTAATTTTTGTTAAAGAGATTCATTTAAATGATATAAAATCATTTTCATTCTGTCAATCTTTAAAAATAAAATTACTGACTTCAAAGAAATCAAAATACCACTCAAATCGCCATTTTCGTTACCGTTTTCCGTCACTCGAAGTGCGTCCATCTGTCATATAGCAAAATAGTGTTTATTTCGTCTCTACTTTAATCTGTCTCGATGCCCGATTTAGATATATATGAGCACTCCATATATCATTGGTCATAAGTTAACCTCCAAATCTTCTTCTTCTTCTTTTCTTTTTTTGGGCTATGTTACTGCGAACAATTTACCCAGATATAGTTGATTTGCTTCTACTAGATAATGATTTTAAAGAAATTTAGAAATTTAGAAAGGGTGGTTATTCTTCTATCATCCAAATGAGACAAGATGTATCGAATATCAAATGGGGCTGATAAACCAGCCTTCGTTAGTTCCAAATATACATCAAAAAGGGGAGATTTATTTGCTGCGTTTACGGTAGAGTGAATTTGGAAATTGGAATATTATTCTGCCCATGGTACCTACCTAGATGGTAGACTTAAGGAATATTAATTATTTTTTTTGTTAAAATAATCCGGTTGCATAAAACATAAGGGTAACAATAATTTGCTTTTAGTCGAGGTAATGAAGCACTAAAAAGGCCAAAGTTCCTGGGTTTTTCCGTGCAAGTCGGATCGAAATGCGGTTTTTTGCATTCGCTTGCAAAAATTATTTGTATCATTCCCACGTAATTTCCGGGTCATACAAACCGGATATTGCATTGCTGCAGCCAAAAATGCATTCAAAAAATGCATTATTTGAGAGGCCACTTGGATGATTTCAAAACTTGTAAAATAAGTGTCAGAGCTAGCCCATATCGGGTGCTCGGGGGTTTTCGAAGTCCCTGATCACGATTATGATGTCTAAATTGACCCACGGCCGACCTGGAGGTCAAGAACGTCGACGAACATCATCTTCGTGGGACTCTCCCAAAATTCACGCGGGGAAGGAGGGCAACTAGGCGATCGGGGTTGTTTTGGGTCGCTGAATCCAAATATGGCATCGGAGAATACCCCCCGGACACCTGGTGCGTCCAAACCTTGACCTGGACGTCTTCTCCGAGAATTTTCCTCACAATATCGACAAGAACAACCCGAAAATGATTGAGCGGAGTTTTTTAGGGCGCTGAATCTAAATTTCAAGTCCAAAACAACCCCCTGAACACCTGGTGCACCGGAACTTGGCCCTGAACGTCATCCCCGAGGGGTTTCCAGACACAATTGAAAAAGACGAACCGAAAATCGTCCCGGGGGCTTTTTTGGGGCGCTGAATCCGAATTTCACGTGGAAAACGACCCCCCGAACACTTGGTGCCCCCTAACCTGGCCCTGAACTTCTTCACCGAGGTTTTCCAGACCCAATTGAAAAAGACGAACCGAAAATCTTTAAAGGGGGTCGCTGAATTCAAATATGGCATCGGCGAACACCCCACGGACGTGGACGTCATCTCCGAGAATTTTCCTGACACAATCGAAAAAGACGAACCGAAAATCGTAAAGGGGCGCTGAATAAGAATCTCCGCCTTTGCAACTCCAAAATAAAAGTCGGCAATAAAGAGATAGAAATTGACCCCGACGTTCTGTTTCATAGAATATGGGCATTGAAAAAAGTTGGGTAAGAAATGACAGACTACCTAAAGTGGGAGTTGTCTCCATTCCCTCAGGGATACTTCAATAGTTTTGGAATGCTGAAGAATATAAAGTCCGATTTATATTCATTGTTCGTGAAAACTCCCACGAATATTTATGATCCTAAGAAGACGTTTTTTGTTCTGGATGGAGGATTACTGATCCACAAAGTCATAAGTGGACTAACGAACAAAAATTCTCGGCGATCATGGACAATTACAAAAAATATATTTTGAAACATTTTGGCAAACGCGTGATAGTTATTTTTGACGGTTACCAAACCGGTGTGAAAGAAACCGTCGTGCTAATCGGGGAAGTTCAGCGGACGTCTGTTTTAGCGAGAATATGGCGTTACAAATATAACAGGATAAATTCTTACAAAATAAGAACAATAAAAGTAAGAATATTAAAATGCTCCGTGCCAAACTGTCGACAATCGGGATAGTTTCAGACCAATCTACAGCGGATGCGGATCGTACGATTGTAACGACAGCTCTAAAAGAATCTGAGGACCTGATCAAAAAGGTAGTCATAGTCGCAGAAGATACAGATGTTCCCGTACTACTGACCGCACTCTGCCCAGCTGACAGAGAAATATTTTTACGGAAACCTGCAAGGCCCAATAAATCTAAAGAAGTATACTCTTCGCGGAGCTTGTCGCATATGCCAGTAGTAGAGGATAATATTTTGTTGCTCTATGCAATAACAGGGTGCGATACCGTTTTAGAAACGTATTACCAGGGAAAGACAAAATTTTTTCAAGACCTTTCAGAACTTCCCAGACCTTCGAGATCATGCTGCGAAGTTCAAGGAAGCTGGTTTGTCCAGCGAAATAATTTTTGAGAACGGGGCGCGGCTAATCCTGGTAATGTACAGTGCTCCAATGTCATTCAGGAAACCAAATATTCCTGACAAGCCAAAATAAGACCAGTTACTCCACACGTACAGGTGCGAAATGTACAGGAGAACCGCTGCGACGGGAAGAGTAAATTTGGCCAAAATTCTCCCTACAGTAGACGCCATTGAATAACATCTAAAGATGGTCTATTTTCAAGTACAACAATGGCTGCACGGAGACCAGCTGACCATGGACTCAAAATGGGGGTGGAGAAAGGAAGGCGACACACTAGTGCCTGTACAGATGCAAGAAAAACCTGCGCACAAGAAAATTATGGAACTAATATTCTGTGGATGCAAAGG